CTTTAAATCGGTCTACATGACCGAGGTGTGTGAATAGGTGAATGACTGAATGTAGTGTAAAGTGCTTTGGTCAAGTCCTCTAACTTGAAAAAGCTCTATATAAGTACAGGCCATTTACCATTTTGGTATGGGCTCGGTAACCGTAATACCTGCTGTAGGACACATTGTACCATGGTGCTGAAAAATGATAAATTAAGTTCTTAACCTAAATCCCCTTTGGAAATTCTAAGAGTGTTGCTAAAAAGTTTCAAGTGCTTATACAATAAAGTACCTTCACTTACTTTTTAAATGCTATTTCTGTACCAAAAACAATTCTCAATACAAAATATAATGCATAGATTTCAAGAAAGTTTTATTTAAATAATTTGAGCCAAAATAAACCATTGAAACATATTATTTTATGCATACCACATAGGAGTTTTGCTTTTTTTTTTTGTTTTTTAATTGGAAAATATAACTTTTTGATTTTCTAAATGACCAGAACCTTAAATGGAATCAGCCTCAATAGACAATTTGTGTCCACACACAAGGAATGTGATTTTTTTTTCATTAAGAATAAAAGATGAAAACAAGGAAAACATATGTCAGTGTGTGTGCATTTGTTCTTAAAACATCGTGTAGTCCAGGCATCCCCAACCTCGGTCCTGGAGGCCCCGCTGTCCTGCAGGTTTTAGAGGTTTCCCTGCATTAGCACAGCTGATTATAATTATTGCAGTAGACCAAAAGCCTGTTAATCAGCCTTCAATTAAAATCAGCTGTACTGGAGCAAGGAAACCTCTAAAACCTGCAGGACAGCGGGCTTTCAGGACCGAGGTTGGGGATGCCTGATGTAGTCCATAAGGTGAGCATTGGTTAGGTTTAGGGCAAGGGTAATCGGTAAAGTTGTAGAAAATCAAGGAAGTCAATGCAAAGGCCCAGCAAATATAAAGAGACAAGTATGTGTATGTGTGTACATCTTTTTAATTGAAATAAAAAAAGTGGTGGCAGTAAGCGGACTGTTGAGGTTGTGAGGTGACCGCTGTCTTCAACTAAGAGAGAAAGAGAAAGCCTGGGGAAATAAACTTAGATTAGAGAAAACAGCCTAATCCATTAAATGCAAAAGCTCAAAATAGCACAGCAGAATTTAGATAAAACATTTGGTTTTCTTTAAGAATTGAATTTTACGCTTAAGAGACAATTTATAAATGTTTTTAGTCTCCCCTTTGTTGAATTAGAAAATAAACATCTTAGTTCAGACATTATTCAAACTCTTAGAGCCTTGGTGATGAAAACAGATGGTGTGAATGTAAAATGAAATCACATTTCGACGATCCATCATGTTTCGGAGGATTTTCCCAGCCAGAGCGACAATGAGACCAGACCAAACTGACCTTTAATTAGACAGAAGCATGACATTATAGAGCCTTGCAAGGCTGTATTCTTTGGGGGGCACTAAGGGTAGGCTTTTTAAAGCTGGTTATTATAAGCCATTCAGGAGACACAGGGATTTGGATTTTCTGTGTGTAGACAGAGAAAAGTGAGAAGAACAGGAGGGGGGTGAGGGTTTGGTATAAAATGAGACCTGCAGATTTTTACATAGCCCATAATGGGTTCATGTGGGTGACATTGGGGCTGTGTAGATTTCCCAAGTTGAGATAGAGATAATATTACTCTTGGGGTAGCAGCAGAGAAATTTCCATCTTCAGTCTCTACACTGGTGTCAGCAAATTACAGATTGCAATAAATGACCTTTAGACACTGAAAATGGACCTTTCTTTTTTTTTTTTTCATCATTTATATGTGAATATATTTGGAAAAGGTAGAATTTTGGGTCACAGTACTTGCCTGCCCACTGTTAATTATAACTAAGGACTAATGGAACGTTTTGAGCAGGACAAGATATTCTAGTGTTACAGTAAGAAGGGTCCAAATTTACTGAAATATGCTGTTATTAAACAGAAGTTAAAAATGTCTCTAATGAATCTTTTTCAAAATACCAACCCTAACACCCGCCCCTCCTGCTATCAGGACCCCTGCTGAAATCTGCCACAGCCATCATTCATCTTACCCTACAATCCTCAGCGTGCGATATGGCGCCCGTTAAAAACACTGTAAAAGCTGATGATTTTCACACTTAGCATGTGTTGCTGATAACTCCACTCTCAATGAGCGTTTCATCACTTCTTCCATAATTAGACCATTACTCTGGCACGAGCACCTCTTCTCAGTCAGAGTAAGCGAGCGTCTGTGTTGTATTTTTTTATTCTTTTCAGCACACACCTTTTATCTCTTTTGCTCTCAACAGTGCCTGTTTCGTCATGTCGTCAACACCTTGATGAGGTAGCATGTGTTGGTAGGATTATGTGTGTGCGAGGTGGGGATGAGGGTGGGGGTGATGACATTGGGTGCAAATGCAGACGAGGAAGTGAGATTATTGAAGAAGTAATTCTTTACGCAGATCCTTTTCATGTTTGCCATAGAACGTAGCATCAGTGATGATAAGCAGCCCTAAGCTGCTGTACAGTATGTGAAAACAGAGTATGGCAGCAGGGTGCTATCATTATAAATGTTTTTCTGCCATTCATTCATATGTCCAGATACTATCCCCGGCTTAATTAGTCTGACTTAAAGCAGATGTGCCTGCATTTTATAACTCGTGTTTCACATATGAGAATTTGTAATCAAACAAAAGAAGCTTAAACTTTGTGATTTTACTTCGTACATAAAAATCAGTTCTTTGATTCAAACTATGAGGTTGATACTTCTTTCAGGTTGTCTAAAAATTCAAAACGTATAACTAGAAATCATGGCACCCTCAAACTGAGTTTGGTCAAGTTGCATGACATTTAGTGTTGCTTGCTAATTGTTGTGGTGGAAACTACTATTAACCATGTTTTTCAAACACTGAAATAACAATTTTAATTGTTATTGCTTTAATCAATGAGGAAAACACCCTTTTTACACTAAGACTAGGCTTAAATCGTTCCTTTAAAAAAAAAAAAAAAAACATATTGTTAGAATGGCACAGGTTATCGTGATCAATCTTTATAGTTATGCTTCTAGAGACTTATGCTGCTGGAGGACATGGGGACCACTTTCTGCTTCATTCTTTGTCTATTTTTCAATTCTGCATTATTTGTTAGTTGAACCCCTAACTTTATGTTTCTCTGCTTTTTCTCATCAGTGTAGCTTCAGCTAGCCTGGTGCTCTGTTAAGCAATGACACCATCCGGGAGGGAGTCATAAGCTGAGCTGCCGCCATTAACAACTTACAGTATAGATAATATAGTTGGGCCTAGTCTTTAGTGCTTAGTCATCTTTCTCTCCTAAACGTATCCATGGGATCAACGTTTACTGTGACTAACTGTAAATGCTCTCTTTCATCCTTTTTGCCATGAAAACTGGCTCAGAGCTCATCTGCTGAACTGTTTATTTCCTAGACTGAGTCACCTATGGACCTAATTACTCTTTCTAACAACGAAAGTATTCACAGATTATTGCATTTATATTCCTGTTGAGTGTCTATTACTGTATTCTTGAACCCAGTCTTACACCCAGTTCTGATGGAGGTTTCTTTCTATTAAAAGTGAGTCTTTTATTTCCACTGTCGCTGTATATGTGCTCAAGGTGAAGGGTTGCTGCAAATGAACGACACAATACAACCAAATTTCTTCGGCACCCACTTGCTCATCAAGAAGGATGGAATTCTGCAAAGTGAGTGTCACGAAGAATGAGCTCAACAAATCTGTCTGTAGGATTTGTCTCTGTAAAGAATTATTCCTGTAAATGTGTTGAGAGTTGCTGCTATATAAATAAAACTGAATTTAATTTAATTGAAGATTACTAGGGGTTTTTGTACTTTCATGAACTTATAACTATCAAATACATTATTAGGTACTAATAAATAGTTTACAACTGCATCGTCCAATTCTGGGATTTAAGTAGTATTGTTTACTGAACTGCTTGGTCAGGTGTCTTCAGCTCCAGTCCTCAAGGTCTGGTGTCCTGTCCCTCTTAGATGTGTTTCTGCCTTAACACACCTCAATCAAAAAATCAAGTCATTAGCATGAAAGGGGCATGTAGTGGGTGGGGGTTTCCAATTATAGATAAAGATTACACTTTAAAAAAATGTGAGCTAACAAGGCATTTCATCAAAATTCCCCTTTTGGTTGTTTTACCTTTAGATTATCTGTTTCTTTAGCCTACATGTTTGAACAGCCCAAAAAGATGGCTCCAATTGACATTGGCAAGGAATCATTCCACCAACCCATCCATCCATCCATCCATCCATCCATCCATCCATCCATCCATGTGTAAATCCATATTTATGGATATGTGTGGATGTTTTACCTTTGTCATTTTTTGTAAAATGTGGGAACGTCACACAAAAGCATAAAACGTGTATAAAAAAAGTAGAACAAAGGAAATTCTGCTCCCAGTTTTTAGCCTTAGACGAAACAACATACCAGCATATGGCACCTTGTAACAGAATGGAGCAGCAAGTCTCAGATTTTAATTAACTGAAAGATTGTATCGTTGGTGTAGTGATGGTACAAATAATAAACCTGATGATGGGGAAGCATCTGTTGCCTGCTGGCCTTTTAGTGAGTCTACAAAGAGGCTTTTAACTTCTGTGCTCAGGGAGATGCACAACTAAGCTAATAATGTAAGGGCTTAAGTAAATACATTGCTCTGTCTTACTTTTATCTGATTAGAACAACGACATGTGATAAGTTTTAGAGAGACAAGCAGCTGTCAGGAGGCTCGACCCATAGATATATCTATGTAATGAGAGTCAAAGTGCAGGGCAACCGCAAATTTAGTTACTCTAATAATTAGACCGGATAAGTTATGGCAAAGAAATAAAGCCACCAAAGGTTTAACAAAGAAAACTGACATGTTAACTAGTCTTTTCTGTTCCAGGCAAGTAATGAAGATGAATAGCAACAGAGACTTTGAACTGGGCTGTAGATTTTTGTGATGTCACCATGTGGACTTTAAGGTTAATGATTACCAAAAAAGGATCAGCGGAAGTTTTCTTGAGTGTTCGAGGTTTCATGACACAGAACACCGTTGTGCTTAGGTGAAAATACTCAGCGAAGTGAGACCTTCATATTTGAAAAGGTAAAGATATGGAAGCAAGCTGCATGGGGATTTATTTGACGTTAAGTTTAACCTTTGTGACCAGTTAGTGTGGATAGAAGTTTATATGCTAAACCTTAAGGAAGCTAAATAAGCACAATACTGACATAGACACATTTACCTATTTTTATTATAGCCTTAAACTGTGTATAATGTAATTTTTCCATTGTATGAAATTACTGTATTTTTTATTATGTAGCCAGTGGCCTATTCTTGCAGACCGGAGTTGGTAAATGACACAACACTAGTAAAAGTCACTGAGATCAATAGGATGGAAATACAGTACATTGTTCCCAAAACATTTTACTAAACCAGATCTTCTTCTAATTAATAGATATGTGGTTACCATGATTCATTCAATCTATTCTGGAAATCTTCCTAAAACTAGTCATGATTACTTAATTGTTTGACAGTAAATGATCATAGTTTTTGTGTATGACACCATTTAGATTTTTAAGTTTTATATTGAAGGTATCGTTGAGGATTTTCGCAATTTAAAAAAAAAAAAACATCCTTTGTGCATGCAGGAGCATGTACAACCCCATTTCTCCTTGTTTAGAGGTTGCTGTCTTCATACTGTAGCTCATACTCGCTTACTGTGCCTGAACCCCCTTAACCCCTAAATCCCTCAGTCCCTATATAGAGTGGGGACTATATGGTGGACTTTATAGCAAACTCCGTTAACTGACTGTTCGGACAGATGATCACTGCTTTTTGCTCCGTTGGTCACGTAACTCCTCCTGAGTTTGTGCCTGTGCCATCTTTGTTATTAATTGCCGCTGTTGATTAGCATCAGCGGGCTGTTGTGAAAGCAAATCCCATAATGCTTTGCAAGGAGAGCTTTCTGTGCAAAGCTTTCCAGGATACAGTATGTCTGCCTCTTCTGAGGCCTTTCTTTTCTTCGTAGACACTTTTTCTCTTACGCCCCTCAGCCATTTTCAACGAACCGTGAGAAAGGCGAGCTTCAATGACTGTCTGAAACCATAGCTCACGACAGATATACCCCTTAAAGTACACATGTGCACAAAAAGATAGCTTACTGGGGAATTGTAGGATGGCGTAATGTAAACATATCACCAGAATCATTGACAATTAGAATGACCACTTATTTAGATGATACATCCAAAATAAAAGATTGTTCTCTATACCTTTAAGTACCAACTAGTGCATACCGAGAAGAAAATAAATAAGGTTAAATAACGTTGTTTTTAAAGATACCTTTTTAGATGAAAGAAAAAAGAATCAAAGTGTTAAACATGCTTGGAATTAATTAAAAATGAGCAAACATAGGCCTCTAAGGGTAATACCAGAAGGAGGAAAAATTATGAGGTTACCTGCCTTACAGGAAATGTCAAAATCAGGAATTTAAATTGTGATAACATGGATTAACAGCACTTATTATTATGAATAAAAATGTGCCAAATTTAGATAGGACTATTTTCTCAGTTAATAGGATTCCAATTGAATAGTCAAATAGGTACGGTCAGCTGCACATTTAATGAAAGCCATCACTTTAATTAATCAAAATCTATCTTAACATTTATTCAGCTTTTTGCAGCTTTAAAAGATGGGGAAGTGTTTTCTGCCAGCCCCCTCTGTCAGAAGCCCCTAGTTGCAGTCTGTGTATTTGTTAATTATTGGGCTCTTGTACACAACAAATCCCTGCAATGCAATGAATTAATGTGCTCATCATAAACTTACTTAAAATATCATACATTAAACCAAGCATATTCAGAGAAGCATTTGTAACTTGGATCATTTGGGAGGGAATGACTAAAACGAATTGGCTGGTTTGTTTTGAAACTGTAACTCAAACAGAGTCAACCAATGACTGGAGCTTAACCAGAGTGATGCATTCTGACCAAGGTCTCCTACAGACTACAAACCCTCCCTACTCTTGTAATTGTTGTTGAAAGTTTTAGTGCATAAAAAAAAAAAAAATATATATATATA